TGACCGTTTGGGAACACCGCGTACTGTTGGCATTTCTTTTTTTTTTTTTGGAATTTACTTATTGTATGTGCCGAAAAATTATATCGTAGTTATACATTATTTATTGTATAAAATTAATTAAAATGATAACATGTGACATAAAATATAAATTAATAAATAAATATAAAATTAATAGATTCACCGATTTTTTTGACCGTATCGAAAACTTACAATCGAAGAATGCAGTAATGATAAAGTCATCGAATTAATGAGTAACGGTTATTTGCTTTATATATTCTAATGAAAACTTATTCTCTCTTTTAAAATATTTAGAACAAAAAACATTAAATATTATTGGTACAAAATTAATAAAAACTAATTCTATATACATTAAATAATTGAAAAACTTTCTAAAAAAACAATTACACTCGTAGAATGTACGCATCATCAGAAATATTTGACAAAAAACTATTGATTAATTTTATACTTATACGAGATCATTTTCTTGCAAAATCTTTTAATAAAAATATTATTGAAAAAAATCACGACAAAAAGATATTGTAAAAATGCTAAATTATAATTATATTTTAGTAAATATAAATTAATTTATCATCTCAGTTTATAATTTAAGAATAGTACCAATCAAATTAAAGTACTCCGTTAATGATTTTTAAATTAATGTCCAGGAAATTAAACCTTTGTCATAATCAATTTTATATGTAAATTGCAATCTATGGTGGAAGAAATTAAAAACGTTAGTAACTGTTTTAATCATACAACTAAGAACTGTTATCGAAATGTCATCAATATATTTGAAATACATGGGCACACAAATTAGTAGCCAGAGTTTTGCACTCCAAATCTTGCGATACAAAATCCACGCAATAATTAGATAATGAGAAAACCGTAGGTATATTATCTCTTTACAAGGAAGACACTTTCGCCAACGGTCAAATCACGTCGATATACAAGTTCTCGTCCGATCACTTAAGTCAAGCGACGTTGAGCGCGGTTAGTACTTAAATGGGTGACCGTTTGGGAACACCGCGTACTGTTGGCATTCTTTTTTTTTTTTTTTTTTAATTTACTTATTTTATGTGCCTGGAAATTATTTATTTTATATCGTAGTTATACATTGTCTATTATATAAAATTAATTAAAATAATAACATGTGATATAATATATAGGTGTACCAAATGTTTCTTTATAAAAAACATTATTAAATTTAAAATATGTTGACTCAAGAACAAACTGAATAGCGGACAAGAATTGTTTAAAAGGATATTGGTGTTAGAATTATATGCGATCATCGGTGTCTAACACTCGTCAAGGCTAACAATAAGTTGATAGGTCGTTAGTGAATATAAGGATACATATCTAAAGACACTAAATTAAAATGTTCATCAATAGGTATACTTGAAAGCTTTGTGAATAAATCAAAACTATTATTAATGTGACCTTCAGCTTTAAGTATGCTTTAATAAATTATTTTGTGTAAAAGTTTAGCAAAAAGGTATAATGGACTATTAATGGTAAATATTATTATTCTAATAGACAATTAAACTTTGTTATTTTAGTTAATTTTTTGTTTATTTTGTTTATTATATAGGCCCAAGGTGTAACACCATCAGTGCAATTTAAAAGTCTGTATAGATTAAGAGAAATAAAGTTCTTTTTTTAAAGAAATTTAGGAGAATGTTCAAATCCTTACGGATCTCGTCAACTTATGTACAGAATCCTATTATACAACTATCTAAGTATTAGTGTTGCTGAGTATACTATTCTTTTCAAAATAATCTGTTTTACATATGATGTTATTCTTATTAGCCCTAATAAATATTAAATTATCGTTATTTTTCAAAAACCGTTCAGTATCACAAAGTAGTTTATTAAGATAAAAGTCAAATTGTTTGCTCGAAATATTCCCAAAAGATACTCTTTCAATGGTTGGTATGCTATGAATGCGGATGGATTATCTGGCATTAACTGGTAAAAATTTTAAATAACATTTAATGTGTTTAATAATGTCACAAGCTACACAACTTTTCTCTATTATTAAAATATGGCATACAAAATCACCTAACTGTAATAAACTTTGTATTGTCGGTGATAAAATGCGAGTGATGAAAGATTGACAAATTACTTGCAATGCAAGCCGGAAAACAACCTCGGAAAACTCGTATCATAAAAAAAGAATCATTCGAGACTAGAAAGAGGAACTAGTGAAAATGAAGAAACACAATTTGTTTTGTTGTTAGGTGTGAATAATGAACGTAGCCCTATATATGATTTTAAGAAATAAGGCAAATTGGCTGTTTAGCATAAAGGTTTAAATATTAAGACCAAAACGTTTGTAATTAAATCTCGCTTTACCATCGGCGTTGGCTCTTACTGGCCTTTAACTTTTATTTGATTTATTTAATCGTATATCTTGAGAATTTTTTTATTTTTGTATAGTTCAATATTATAGTTAAATAATAAGAACTGATACCGAAATAATTTAAATATTATTTCCACACACACACACACACACACACACATACACAAATAAAAAAAATTTTAAATATATTTCCATTTAAATATTAGTGATTTAATAAGTTTAATAAGTTTCTAAACTAAACAAAGCATCTACTAAATCAAGTAAATATAAATATTTATTATATTTTCAATTACCGTAATTTTATGAGTTTCTCTTCTGTATTCATTTTCTCTCTAATCTTTTTGCAGCGACATCGACTATACACATAAATTTTGGACAAACTTCGATCTTGCATTATACTGTCCAATAGCGGCGACCAATCTTTCAAATTTAGTTGATCAGCGCAAAATCGTAAGCAGTTCTTTTGTAGATACATTTCCATCATCGGCAAAGGCTTCACATTTTTTTCGCGACATAGTGCCTTCATTAAAGATACATTAAGAATACATTAAAGATTGCATATCTTATTTAAAAAAATTGATGCTTACGATGTTGGATAATAAGTTATTAAATAGAAACAGTCAATAATTTGTTGTGCTCATTCAAATATACAAAGAAGTTTTCAGAAATTACCTTAATAATTATCTTATTTTTTATAAATAATGAAGTAAATTTTCTGTTTATAATATTTTTAAAGTATAATTAAAATATAGATAAATTATAAACTAATGGTTATTCGAACAAATTTGAGAATAACAAACCTTGTATGCGCATTCAAATAATTCACTAGAACCTTTCTCTTCGCAATTTTGCATAATGTCACAATTTTGCTCGATCACAATTTTCATTCCCTAACAACCTATAATTTTCAACAAAATAACGTTTTAAAAAAACTTTAGAAAATGACGGATGACGCGTTCTGAACGTATAAAGAAATCGATGTAAAAGTATCAAACATTTGAATGCGTACTATCGACAAAAAGATTTCTCAAGTTTCACCTCATACATCAAGAGACACAGTAGTGTCTCTCGTCGCTGTTGTTCCTTCATAAATTTCAACAACGGTGTTGCAA